ATATATATATATATATGACATTTTTACGACAGATAAAAACGCTTTCCTGCAATTAGAATTTGGTGCAAATGATACAAGCTACAAATACACACAAGTTTACACGTTTAAGAAGCAAAAACATAAGACACTTCTGAAAATATAACTTGCCTATTCCGGCATTGCTAACGCAACTGTCGGAGAGGAAAATGCGTAACGTATTACGTCACGCGTAACATACGCAACGACGTCTTTTTACGTCGGAACTTGTGTTTTGAACTGTTTGAAWCGGCAGATAAGCTTCGGCAAACGGTTACGTGCTGATTTTTTCATCTCAAATGTTATTTTTGTCATATCAAAGGTGATTGTTTTATTACAGGCTCGTTAATGAACACAGTAATATTTAAAGCAAATCTTTGTTTTGCTAGCTTAGTTAAGTGTGCCGCTGTTTTGTGCTTTGTGCTGCAGTGTTGTTGTTTACACTCATTGCACGTTTTTATAGAACTGGTGCGATCAGTCTTTGAAAATTCTTTATTCAACACCGTACTTCTCAGTATTACCTTTACAAGCTAAGTTAAATTCTGATTCAGAACTAAAATAGGTGTTATTGTCATTGTTGTTGGCTGTATGATATGAATGTATGATAACAAAGGTATGATGTCTGCCTGTCAGTGAGAGTTAGTTGGTGTGTTGGTGGAGAAGAAAGGTGATGTCTGAGGTTAAAGTTAACCTGACTAAAGCAGAAGCAGGAACACAGGATGACCCTGCTGGACCACGTCCTGATCCTGTGAGAACAACTTGCACTGATGGGCCAGACCTGCAGGGGTAAACTTTATTTTTTCCTCTGAGTAATCAAGTTGTTCATGTTAAAATAAAATATGAGTCACATTGTGGTTTTTTCATGTTTCTCTTATTCTCTGTCTGCTGTCAGCTCCTCTTCAACAGATGTCAGCCCTTCACCTTCTGCTGAGCCCAGCAGCTTGTTGTCATTACCTTGGGAGATCTTAACKAACATTGCTTCATATCTTCCTGCTCAGTGCGTCATCAATGTGTTGCCAAAGGTCAGATTGACAGATTTTAGTCACTAAATGTGTTAATTTCTTTTTACACTCTTTTATAGATAGAGATTTTTATTTTAAATTAGCAATTATGAATGAGCAAACATCCCCACACCTCAGCAGCTACTGTACCTCTAACATCCAGTTAGAAGCAAATCTAATTAATAATTAAAGTAAACAAACACATCTGTTGAACTCATGGAGATCTATTGTGGTGCTGCTGCTGCTTTTAATGCTGCCATTCCACTATTACTGTTATTTATTGTGTTATTAATTTATTCATTTAGTAGCGAAGAGAGCAAGTGAAGTAGGCCACACTCCAAATCAGGAAATTAAGACATTAGGAACAGTGTTCTCCGCAAGGTGAAAACCTATAAAAATCTTAAAACGGTAGTTTCAAGTTTTATGTGTAACAAGCAAACAATCTTTGGATTTTTAACTTTGAGGAYGTTTGTGATTCCTTTTTCCTTCTCTTCCAGGTCTGTCATCTGTTGAGTACTGTGAGCGAGGACAGCACTGCTTGGCAGCTACGAGCACAAAGACTAATCGGGTCAAAAGCCAGCTTTCCCGTAGGACCGAGGGAGGACTTTGACTGGCCCGCAGCTTGCCTGGAGATAGAGAAGCTAATAACCTTCTGGACAGGTGAAGCACAACATAAGGCTAGGCAGACCCAAGCGAAGGAGGAGGAGCGAGATCGAGTGAGACTGAGGGGGCCAGTCGAAGAGGAACAGGACGCTGCCGGAGAGGAGGAGCTACAAGAGGTGGGAGGGCCAGCGCAGGAAGTAGCTTATGGTGCTGATGAAGGCGTAGAGGTAGTGGTAGAGGCAGAGGATGGTGAAATGCCGCCAGACATAGATGGAGACCAATTGGCAAGACTGAGGATTGAATTAGAAGACAGGCTGGGGGATGGTGCAGGAGAGTTGATGGAAGATGGAAGAATGGCTTTAAATGCTAATGGGGGGCAAGATGCAGGTCTTCTTGATCAGAACAACTTCATGAACTGGGATAATGAAGAACAAGCAGATGTTATCAACCAACAAGTCTCAAGAAGGCCTAGCCCACCCCCAGCATTGGAGTGCATTACCCTCCCTATAAGCCACATCACCAAAATCAACTCAGTCCTCTTCCTTGACAGGGAGGGGGGTGTCTGTGCCACAGCTTCCAGGGACTGGAATGTGAAAGTGTGGGATGTGCAGGCCGGCTCTAATGGCACCCTGCTGTACACGCTGGGAAGGCAGGGGGACTTCAGCTCCCATCGAGGCTGGGTGTGGTGCCTGGCATCGAAGGGTCCCCTACTGGCCTCGGGGGGCTTTGATAGCACAGTGAGGCTGTGGGATCTGCAGGCTGGCGGTGCCGACAGGGGCCTTATCAGGACTGGAGCTGCTGTCCTCTGCTTGTCCTATCAGCCTGATGTGTTGCTGGCTGGTACCTTTGACAAGAGCATCAGCATGTATGACACCAGAGGTGAGGGCTTTTTGATGCGAGGTTTGTGTTGTCAAAAATCCAATAAGAGTTCATTGCATTAAAAAAGCTGCAAAGCCACATAGTTATTTGTATTGGTAATTGGGGATGGGTACAACCCAGGTGAGTGGGGGCCTCATAAGTGGGCCCATTGCTCTACCCAAAAGATACTGGGCTTTAATCAAACCTTTTTGTCCCTCGGATGAAGGACACCAGGTTAGAAACCCTCAGTGTTCTAAGCTTCTCGGGATCCACAAAG